AAAGAAGTTCAGATTATACTTACGTATTCTGATATGTATCGTTTCAGTTTTACACTGCTTTAGAGACTTCTTTTCAGAATGAACGATTTTAATTCGTAAAAAACACAGTTTAGAAGACTCTGCTAGTAAACAATAAAGATGGATAGATATGGGCGGGACCAATGATTTTCAGTTCTGGTCGCGAAAAAAAATTTTGCTCGTAAAGACGAATGAAAACCAGATGAGACGATTGAGAGAAATGAGGAAGATACCGATATAGACAGTGAAGATATGAACAGTCAGATAAATGATGATATATTTGATTACAACATATAAACGTGTTTTTTAAATGAAACTCATGAAGTTTGGCGACTTAATAAAGTTTCCATACAACAGTAATAGACAGAAAGATCAATATCTAAATAAAAAAACTCTCAAGACTTCTAAACAATTTTTTGATGAAGTTCCTGAGATAAAAATTTTGTTAGTTCCGATCTCATTCATGTCTAGAGATGGATTAGTACAAGCTTCTTCGAATAAGAATGTAATAAAAAGACATAATCACCTCGATTTCATTTGCACGTTGTTTTTGTTTCTTTTCAAATTTACTGAGAAGATCTTGTAGTAGACAATTAGCACCAGTTGCCCAACGTAATCGTTGTACAACCGTTTGTTCAAGTGCAGCTACTTTATCTGCCACTGTTTGATAACTTGAATCTTGCATGCCTAATATTTGTTTATCCTAAAACGAAAAAAATAATAATATATTTGCCGTACAACAGATCGTTTTACAATGAACTCAATTCGAGTTCAAAATATTTACTTAAACCAATGATCTAATAATTTCTTACTTTAGTCAACTCATCGTAAATTGTTTGACGTTGAATGTTTGCTTTTGGTTGCATATCTTTCAATGAATGATAATTTTTCCATCGAAACGCTTTTAATTGTAAAGTATTCGTGTCTTTTCGATTATGAAGTATTTCTAAACGTTTTTCGATACGTCTAAACGAAAATAAAACGAAAAATATTAAATTATGAATACTTTCTAAATATTTAAACATACTCGTATAGATTTTCCATTTTCCATACAGTATCGTATTGAAGCAATATTTGCTGTAATTCATTTAGTTTATCATCATTTTGTATCAGATTTATACTGCATATATTATTTATAAAATTATCGAATAACGGTGCTGTTTTAATTTGTTTTTCATCAAAATTGAACGATGGTACAATATAATTGGCTAATGCAAGAATCAAATAGCCAGTTGCCATCGATGGTAGACTATTCAACTTGAGAAGAAAAGAAAAGATTATATAATTAAATCAAAGGAAAATATATAGAAATTTACATATTCAAGAACATATGCAGCAACAAATCGCTTCACTGTTATACTCATATCACTGTCTTTAATAATTGGAAGTTTTATATCTACAAATAAAGTTAAAAAATGAATTTAAACACTATAGTAATACTCTTCTATTATTCACCATTGATCACATTTGAATAATCAACGGCTAACTGACAAGCTTGATGCATTGTAACAACTTTATTCATTGTAAATACATTTGACAAAAGATGGCGATGATCGACATTTGCAACATTTAACTAAAAGAATAAATAAAACAAATTAAATTAACAATTTAGAAATAAAATGATTCACTTACTTGTTTCCAATTAAGAAATTTTGGTTCAGACCATGTAGACGGAACAGATAGTTTTTGGAGATGATTAAATACATCATTCATCTTTCTATCGACATCATCAAAACATGTAGCCATATCGAGAAATAATGTTGATGTTTCATTATCTTTTTCTTAAAATAATTTGACAGGAAAATTTTAAGAATAATCACTAATGTTAAACTATCACAAACCTTTGCCTAATAAACCTCGAAGTGTTTCATAACATTCAATGGATGTTTCATCACTGGGTTCTATCAACTAA